GGCCTTTTCCGCGCCCCCCGGCGCGGAGACTCTTACTGCAGCGGGGAGCCCGGGAGCCGGGCGGCCCCACCGACCTCTCCGCGCCGCGGGAGAGGGGCCGGCACGCCCGGCGAGCGAGCTCGGTGCCAGCTCGGTGCCAGTCGCGCTCCTCGGCGTCCATCCTCCTCGCCGTCGGCCCCGAAACTCAGCCCCGCCATGCCTCCCAACCTCCTACCGCTTCGTCTCCCAGGAGAACATGGACAACTACCTGCGGGCTTTAGGTAACTCCAGCCTCATCCCGCGCCTTCCTCCCCTTTTTGCTCCTTTCCGTCTCCAAAAATGTCAGAAGTCGGGAAGGGGAGGAAGGGGTTTGGGAACCCTCCGGTCCTTCTGTCTGTGACCATCCCTTTTGTGCTGTGGTGGGAGAGGGGAGGAGGTATGGTGGCTGGGTGGAAGAGTGGAGGAGCTCTGGGGGGATGCTGCGAGAGGAGGGGCCCAGGTTGTCCACAGATCTCCCCTCCCTCTTGTGCTCTAGATATCAACGTGGTCCTGCGAAAACTGGTTTGCCTCCTGAAGCCCGATAAAGAGATCATCCACACGGGAGATCACATGGTCATCCGCACGATCACCTCCCTGCGGGACTACGTTATGGATTTTGACCTGGGAGTGCAATTTGAGGAAGACCTGGGACCCGTGGATGGACGCAAGTGCCAGGTGAGAAGCCCAAGCAGCGCAGTTCCAGAGTGTGCCAGGGTGCACTGGAAGTTCAGGGACTTGCTCAGCTGTTGATTCATGGAGCGGATGAGAGCCCAGCCCAGAGCTGGCGTGCCCCTGCAGGCCCAGGGATAAGTAGTTCTGTGAGGAAGGCACTCCCAGCAAAGGGGATGAGCACCCTACAGCCAGAAACCCGGTGCTTTGAGGTCCAGAGGGTACTGTCCTCTGGAGCAAAGCCCTGAAAAGGCAGAACATCATCCCGCTTGGCCGATGTTGCACTGGGAAGCCAGAGGGTCATTCACCTCCCACCAAGAGCATCAGTCCCAAAGAGCCACCAGATTAGGAACCACATTTGAAAATGTGTCTGAGAGGAACAGTCCATGTCATCACTGGAAACCCGTATTGCCAGGAGCCGCTTGCCTTGAGGCCATGTCTTCCCCACTCCTTTTTTTTTTGTTTGTTTTTCAGACAACTGTTTCCTGGGAAGGGGATCAGCTGGTGTGTGAGCAGCTGGGAGAGAAGAGAAACCGAGGCTGGAGGCACTGGCTGGAGGGGGACCAGCTGCACCTG